CAGTAGCATACGTGTGAGCTTCATTGCCTAATACATAATCGCCTGACAACCTGAGCTGTAGGTATGCCACGAGCTTTTCAGCCGCTTCACGAGAAACAAGAATCAGACAAATCGCTGTCTACCACAACTATTCGGTCCGGGGGGCTTGCGTGCCAGCGCGACGCACCATTCCTGAGTGACGGCAGCTACGCTGTTACCGTCCTTCATCAATCACGAGATGAACTCGCTGACAAGGCGACATCTCGGCGCCTCAGTCTGGAGACAATAGATTAGCGAGCTGCCGATATAGAGAACCGCACGTCATGGGCAGGGGCGGATCCAAGGGGGGGGGGGTCACATGGGTCATGGCCCCCCCCCCCCTTGAGGCCCGGGGGCCCAAAGACCTGCCAGGGGCACCACCGGCCTATCAGGGGTATCACAGTCCTGACAGGGGCACCACAGGACCGCCAGGGGCACCACAGGCCTAACAGGGACACCACGGGCCTGGTGCCCCTGGGCCCTGACAGGACTGTAACGCCCCTGACAAGCCGGAAGTGTCCCCGGCAGGCACGTGGTGCCCCTGACAGGCCTGAGGCGCCCCTGCAAGGCCGGTGGTGCCCCTGGCAGGCCTGTGGTGTCCATGGCAGGCCTGTGGTGCCCTTGCTAGGCCTCTGGTGCCCCTGACAGGCTTGTAATGCCCCTGGAAGGACTGTGGTGCCCCTGGGCCCTGACAAGCCTGAGGTGCCCCTGACAGGCCAGTGGTGCCCTTGCTAGGCCTGTGGTGTCCCTGGCAGGCCTCTGGTGCCCCTGACAGGCTTGCGGTGCCCTTGGAAGAACTGTGGTGTCCCTGGGCCCTGACAAGCCTGAGGTGCCCCTGACAGGCCCGTGGTGCCCTTGTTAGGCCTGTGGTGCCCCTGGCAGGCCTCTGGTGCCCTTGCTAGGCCGCTGGTGCCCCTGGCAGGCCTCTGGTGCCCCTGGCAGGCCTCTGGTGCCCTTGCGCCCGGAGAGGACTGGTGCCCCTGAAAAGTCTGAAGTGCCCCTCAGCAGGCCCGTGGTGCCCCTGACAGGCCCAAGGTGCCCCTGCGAGGCCGGTGGTGCCCCTGGCAGACCTCTGGTGCCCCTGGCAGGTCTGTGGTGCCCCTGGCAGGTCTGTGGCGCCCCTGGCAGACCTGTGTTGACTGGTGCCCCTGCTAGGTCGCTGGTGCCCCTCACAGACCTGTGGTGCCCCTGGGCCTTGACAAGCCTGAGATGCCTGGCTATGACAGGCTCGTGGTGCCCCTGATAGACCAGTGGTGCCCTTGCTAGGCCTGTAGTGCCCCTGGCAGGCCTCTGGTGCCCCTGCTATTCCTGCGCCCGGAGAGGACTATGGTGCCCCTGAAAAGCCTGAAGTGCCTCTCGACAAGCCCGTGGTGCCCCTGGGCCCTGACAGGCCCATGTTACCCCTGCGAGGTCGGTGGTGCTCCTGGCAGGCCTCTGGTGCCCCTGGCAGGTCTGTGGTGCCCCTGGCAGGCCTGTGTTGACTGGTGCCCCTGCTAGGCCGCTGGTGCCCCTCACAGGCCTGCGGTGCCCCTGGAAGGACTGTGGTGCCCCTGCCCCTAGGGGTGCTCATGGGCCCAACAGGCCCGTTGTGCCCCTGACAGGCCTGTCGTGTATACTTGCTAGACCTGTGGTGCCCCTGCTTCCTGGCAGGCCTGTGGTGCCCCTGGCGGGCCTGTGGCGCCCCTACAAGGCCGTAGGTGCCCCTGACAGGTTTGTGGTGTCCCTGGAAGGACTTTGGTGCCCCTGACAAGCCTGAAGTGTCAAGGACAGACCCTTTAGACGCCAGGGTCAAGTTCGTCGGACTGACAACGATTTGCTTACCTGATAACGTTCCTGGTAAGTACTCACTACTCAGCGTCCACAACATATATACACATAGCACATTCATATATACTTGCTTACAATTGGTAAATGTGGTTGTGGCTAAGAGCTAAGATACTGACTAAAAATAAAAAAATAAAAAACAACTGAAAATGGGGGCACCACCAAAATGAAGTGGACGAAATCCGTTGAGTTTTTAATTTTGGGTATAGGTAGGGGCACCACTTCGATTCATGACCCTCCCCTTGGAGTTTTCCTGGATCCGCCCCTGGTCATGGGTGCCATAATTCCAACTTGACTACCGGTTCTGAAATTAAAGGGACTATCCCACCTTCTAAAATGTTGTTAAAAACCAGTTAAATTGTGCCCAACTTTATAGATTGGATGACCAGGAACACGGTTCTGGCATTTATTTTTCATTAAACATCTTAGGCTTCCCATATTCCAAACACAAACTTTCAAATATGTGACGTCACAGCCCCAAATTACCTCCTTCCCCAGGCCACATTACTGTCATAAAGCTGATTCTTTTTACTCTGTAGGCACCACGTCCACAACAAAGTTCAGACCAAGTTTTAAGCGATTTTTCAACGAACAAACCCATTTAAATCAGAATGACTAAACGAGGTGACGTCACACTAACGGTCGCTCCATGTTGAAGATAGGGCCTTGTACAAGGCCCATTTTCAAATGAAGGGAACGAATTTCTTCAACACCAAGAGGCCGCGGGGGTTGCAACCTAGATAGATAGTGGTTTCTGAACCTCGCCGCAAACTTGGCTATCTCAACTCAAACCCCATGTTAAAGGTGGGATAGTCCCTTTAACGATTTGATAATGATCCCACCAGCGATCCCACCACGAGCTTAAAAGTAAACGGATCGCAGACGATAAAAAAATGCTTGCGTGCGTGATAGAGATCATTTGAACGGCTCAGGACTATTTCTGGTTCCCTGACATTAACATACGCCTAAATAATCTCCGATAACAGTGAAATGCCATCTAAAAACTTTAAACGTTAACGCTATATGTTGAATACCTACATATTATAAAGTACAACTGTCAGGATCGATAAGGACAAAATATGCTTTTAAATAGATTTGACTTTTGAGCTATAAAACAGCTGAGCGGGTAGGTATATGTAGCTTTTATATAGGCAATACCTGTGGCAGTATCGTTCTGTATTCACATCCGCTTGCGTATCATCCAGCAACAGACAGTAACAAATGTGACAGATTGTCATTCAATGCCTTTATGGGGACTCGCCGGCTGATTTACACACTATGGCGGTCACTTTACGAGGCCCGGGGCGTCGGGACGACCACCAATGGATTCAAATGTAAACATTCCCGCACTGTTTATGATGTCGCCTAGTGCGGCACCGGGGTAGAATCGCACTGCACGGCCGAATCGATACTGGCGCTGAAGTCGTCGAAAGCTCTTCTATAGAGGCAAATGAACATTAGGCTTTTGTTCATGCAAGACAAATCTCTTTGGAAATTTTCCTGTGAAGAGCCGTGAGTACCTACGCTTATAATGTTTTTTTTTTTTGTAGATTGTATCTTTTCTCAAACAAAGAGCAATGGTTGAAATTACTTTACTCTATGACGAACAGCCGTAGAGTGAGACTTTATCATGAAAGAACATAAACCCAGAACTGTTTGTCATGTGAATAGCTAGGTTGATATCAAATACATGCTTTTGGTTTCATATCCATGCACTGACTGGAACAATCCACCTTAGATAAGGATTCTTCAGATTCCGGGTACCTGTCTTGGTAACAACCACAGACCGGTAAAAATTATATAATAACTGGAGCGGCTGATCCGACTTAGAATGATGCACATCCTGAACATGCATGTAGGTACACACGTCAAGACGTCCAAAGTGAGGTTCGTCCGGCTGGAATTTCCCACCACCTGCCGGTCTTCCCGCCCCCACATCCCGACACCCTCGCTCTCCTGTAATGCCCTCAGAGTGACTTTCCTCAGGGAGAAAGGAGGGCAGCCGTCGCCGAGCTCACGAAGGTGCAGTCACCTTTAATTCCGCTCCTCAGGCTCATAAATCTGGTGACGGATTGGTGAATGCACGAACAAAATAGCATCAGAGCAGAAGATTAAGAAAGGTAGCAACAATTCCAAGACGGTCGACAGAGTCACGTTTGGCTTGTAACAATAATAAATATTAAGCATCTTTTTATTGATGGATAGTCGCATGAAACCGTATCTGTAGAACACTTAGCATACGAGTATAAGCTACAGAGTGATTTCAGTTCATTAATGCTTCTTTAAAATTGAAATTTGAAAACGTAACATTTCAGGAGCCCCAAACAAGCAAAACGTAGTTTAATTGCAGAGTTCCCATCCAAATCTTCTCAATCATTTGCTAAGATCTACAACATGGCATTTTTCCGATCGTTGTCGGATTTTCCGGCCAATCCCCGATGTTCTGGCCTCTCGGTGGTCCGTTGCAGATGGTCATCTGACGACAATCTCGCCCATCATGAGGCAGCATTCCGGTTCGACTACTCGGCATTATAATCCTCTGGCAGCGATCTGCCGTTTGTCGGCGGCCAGGCCACCACCGGACGAGAGACTGACCTTGGCAGTGGAAGCCATTAAAACGGTCTGGTTTCCACAAAGGTCCAGTTCGATGCTCCATGACGAGGTTCAATGTCATTTTTAAAAGTCATTCAAGAACATTCTGCGTAAAAACATGGGTATCGCTTCAAAAGACTATAGTTTTGACAGCACTGACAGCAGTCAAAATGTTTTCAGTTCGAGATCTCATCTGAAGAGCAAGTTTTTCCGGTGTAATTAGTTACGTAAGCATTAATCGGTCATGCCCGCGGAAAGCAGGAAAACCGGCAAAAAGTTTAAAATGCAAAAGACGCCTCATATCTATAAATGTCTTAACTCTTAAATGCCAAACGATGGGCAAGTGCCAGGAGATATTAGAATGAATCAAATAGTATAAAAAGCTGTTGAAACAAAAGTAACAAAAGCACTTTATCGGGAACATTGTAAAAAGCGGACTCACTAAAAAAAAAAATTGCCATTCGCCGTTCTGAAAATTTGGGCAATTAGAACACTGAAATAAGTGCCGCACATCTCAGCGCTACCAGCGACTCAGCGCTACCAGTCGAGCACCTTTCAACACTCACCGCATGTTGTCTGTGTGTGTCTGATCCGGACTAGAGCACTGCACCCTCGACGGCCCGGCGGCGGCGGTGGCGGCGGGAGAGGAGTCGAGCGACCCTCGCGGAGCACGGGTGGCGGCAGACTGAGAGCCGCGCGACTGCGGACGGACGGCGCTCCTCGACGGGCGACGTCAGAGGCCGCCGGCGGACCGACCGGTCGGGAGGACTAGGTCCGGCAGAGGAGGAGGAGAGAGGAGGAGAGGAGGGAGGACAGTGTCGACGGTCGGGTGGATGGTGTCCGTTTTCCACCGCCGACTGTTTATAGTCCGTCTCGGATGTCTGCTTGAAGTGTGCACGTTTTCATAGACAAACGTACCGATTACGAGAGACAACCTGTCCTATACACTCTGTCTGGGAGCGATGATTGATCATGGTAAAGGCGCTATAGTATGCGCACTTGAGTGATATCGCAAAACATTATTACCAAGACAAACAGAGCGGTGCTCCGTGGCCCTGAGTCCATTGTAGCCGATCAGCAATGGCCCGTTATCGCATAGCGCCCCGCCATTTATTGCTGTTTGTTGACTTTCAGCGAGCGGCGTGGCATGTCTTTTCAAGGGACTGCGTCACCGCATGGGGACGATGACGGGCGGTCTGCAGCATTACTGACCACCCCATATTGACTCGGCGCGTCAGGCTGTTTGAACAACAGAAAACACATCCTTTGTCCGCTCATGTCTCTAATGAATGGTCCGATGACATTCGCTGAGTGGAAGTGACGTGAAATGAAATACCCAGGGTGCATCGAACACGTCGACAGAGAGAGAATACTAACCAGTCGCTACGTTGCCCGCTTTGGTGTGCCAGTTACGCTCCAGATATGTGCGCAATGTCGTAAATTTCAAAGCGCTGTGGACTTTTCGTTGTTGCTACTTGTATCGCTGCGATACTTTGGTAGTCGTACGAGTTCCGCCATGTCGCGGGGCATGTCTCCCCACTTGCGGCTGCTGCGTGCCCTTCTGCTTCTGGTCTCCGCGCTGACCCTCACCGGTCTGCATGTGCCACACGAGCGGATACCGGGTGGCTGGCGCGCCGCCCGCCTGGTGCCGCTGGCTCTCTCAGCCTTATCTGTTGTCGGCAACATCGGAGACATCGTCTCCTCCATCGGGAACGCCTTCATGCTGATGTTCTCCTTGTCTATGAATGTCAACAATGTGCAGGGATATGCGATGATGCTGTTCCTCATGTACCACCGCCGGCGTGTGCACCAGTTTCTACAGCGCATCTGGGAACTGGACCAGATGACTGTCGGGTGTCAACGAAAGGGGGAGTACCGGGGCGTCTCGATCCTAGCGATTCTCTTGGCCGTTATTCCGTTTTTCTGTCTCTTCATTTGGATGGTGGGGTTCTTCAGCACTTCCGGTCTGGCGCCCCCCAATTACATCATCAACTGGTACATACCACCGCAGCTCAACAACCGCAGCTGGTTCGGCATCATCACCGTCGTCCAGGTACTGAGCGGGCTAATTAGCAACACGTGCCAGATGAGTTTTGACGTGCTTCTGGTGGGATTCGCCGGAGCCGTGGCGCTGCTTCAGGAACGGCTGGCGACGTATTGCCAGAAGTATTTGACCCTCTCGTCTGATGCCGACCTCGTCTCCGGTGTCTCGGATCGCTTCAATGATGAGGATGCGACTGTTTCCTTGGATCTCAATCGCGAAGAGGCTGCGATGTCCCCCGGTGGAAAGAAGGAAGACCTCGTCGGACACTTCCAAGTTAAACCGTCAAATCGAAGCCGGGTTGATGTTTGGACCGCTGGAACTCTCCCTCACAGCCCCGCTCACTCAAAGAACGCCTATCGGTCATTTACGAATCGCCACGATGGGTTGAAGGAGGAGAAGCCGACTCTACAGGACCTTAATCAACCTCTCCAGAACCTGACTACCCTGTACTCCTCGGTACGTGATCTGGCTGACGATCTGACCTCGTTCTGCTCGCTGCCGACACTTTTGCTACACACAACCGTCGCCGCCGGCATGCTCTTCGGCAGCTACGTCAGCATCTTGATGGTCTCGACCAAGTCAGGCTCCAGCACGGCGAAGGTGATCGGGTTCGCCTCTTACACGCTGAGCATGGTGCTGCGGCTGGTGCTGGTCAGCTGGGCGGGGAGTTGGCTGATCGAGAGGGGGGAGCAGCTGCAGCAGACGCTGGCCAGGCTCCGCTGGCCGGCCAGCGCGTCACCAGCGGCCCGCTTCCAGCTGCAGCAGCTGATGGAGCAGACCCGTCAGCCGCCGGCCTTCCACGGCTGGGGCCTCTTCACCGTGCAGAAGACCAACATGGTGGCCCTCTTCAGCTTCGTGCTGACGTACTTTGTCATCCTTCTCCAGATGCAAGTCCGGTAGAGAAATGGTAGCATCGGTCGTCCCCGTAGAGGGAAAATCTAAATGTAGTAGTGATAGTACATACCTATGTGCGTGACATGGCCACGCTAATACGGCGCACAAGATAGATACTCGTATGTATACTCGTCTTATCACTTAACCCTCGCCGGCCGAGGGGGGGGGGGGCGGGTGCCGCCCCCCCATAGGGTTTTTTCGCGATAGCTCCGAACACGCTGGCGATAGAGAGCTGAAACTTGGCATACCTGACCTTTGATCCAAGCCGCATCTTTTGACACCAACCGCATTTTTGGGTCAGGTCAGGTCACTGACCTATGACGTCATAAGTGAACCTCTGCACGGTCTTCAGATGTCGCAACTTCGCAACGCCCTCACTGCCAGAGGAGATGTCACAGGGAAATGAAACTTGCAGGATCTAGTATCCATTATGAGTCTCACAATTTTTATATCTCGGATTTTTCCTAAAGGTCATATGAGGTCAGGTCAAATTCGTGACCTCACCATTATAAGTCAATGGGGAAAAATTCAAACTGCTATTTTGGCGCCGGGAACGATCTCCAACTATCTCAAGCACACAGAATCGTGATTTGATGCACTCCTTGCAAGGTTAGATGCGTCACTTTTGCAATGTTGACCTTCCGTGACGTCATTTATGACGTCATCAAGGTCATATTTGTTTTTCGTCAATAACTCCCGATCAAATTGAGCTAGCGAGTCGAGAAAGCCACCAATGGACTCAGGAAGACCTGCCGGATCGAATGATATGCGACATGACCTCTTTCGACCAACTTTGTGACCTGGGGGTGCTGACCTGACCTTGACCTGAGGTCAACACCCTAAGTTGACCTGACCCGAACAAAAAGTATATCATTCGACGCGCCTGAGCGAGGCGAACACGATGCTGCCAAAATCGCGGCTCTGCGGCCGTTTTTTGCGAAGTTATTCACGAAAAACTGAACCGTACCCTGGGGCACTTGACCTGACCTCAGAGGTCACCGGTTGACCTAGGACCTTAAAATCGGGTACCAATCTCTGCGTCTCGTAACGGTGCACACGCTCGTTTTTTCCGCGACGCGCTAGCTCCACCAGGGGCGAAACGGCGAGGGGGGGTCGTACCCGCCCCCCCCCCCCCCTCGGCCGGCGCGTATGTAGAAAACCAATAGGTCCGGCGAGGGTTAAAAGCCTCATCAAAACTTAACTATACTAACTATACTATATTAACTTAACGTCAACTATTGTAGACGCATGCTAGCTATTTATAGATGGTCGCTTATCTTCTCAAGCTTTGCATCGCAATTAATTCTATTTTTCTATGACGAAAATCGAGTCAGAAAATGAAATTTGCGATCGGATCATGTTTAACCCTCGCCCGTATACGGCGGCGGTGGGGGGGGGGAACGGACCCCCCTCGATTGTTCGCAAAATAACTCGCGTAAAAAGCGGCCGATTGCGACGGAACTTTCAGTACCCTCGAGTTAAAGGGACCCTCCCACCTTAACATTAGATTTGAGTTAAGATAGCCAAAATGGGGTCCCTGGCTCACAATTACCGGTTTCGGCACTCACAACATCGATAAATGCCTTAAATCGGAAATATTGAATTTCAAAATTGCAGCGTTTTGATTCAGAGGGGCTAATGCTTTTGAATACCCCTCTGAATGTGTGACGTCAGCGGAGATCTAACGATTTTTAAATATTTTACTAACACGTTTGGTAGCACGCGGTGGTATAGGCTGCTTTGCGCGCAACAAATGCCGCACTTTCAAATAAAGTCGCTAGGAACAGCGGATATCCCAAAAAGTAAACAAAAGTAAAAGTCTAATATCTTGAAAACCGGTGAATATTTTTCGATAAAATTTGGTAGATATTCGTTTTCGCTCTTTCTGAACCTAGCGACATCACTTTCATGCCAATTCATTAACTTTTTTGAAGGTGGGAGGGTCCCTTTAACCGATTTTATACCCACCCTGAAAATTGCATGACCCTGATCCAAATGGCCTTGGACCTGTGACCTTTTTCTCGAGACCATGTTTGGCCCGCATCGCGATTCGGCGTATATCGGCTCCCATTAGCCGCTCGTTTGCAGTCTTCGTGGCTTCAAGCGTTCAAACATGTGATGATACTGGTCCCATGCATTAGGGTGAGCGTTAAGGTCACCGGAAGGTCAGGTCAAGCCATTAACCTTTGATCACCTCGGTTCACTCTTTCGTGTTTTACATGTTTCTAGGCTCGCCTTTGGAGCTGAATTCGAATTAAGCAACCATTTGAACATTTACGAAGTAGTTTTGGTGCCTTCGTAACATGTTACGAAGCTGTCAGAGTCGGTTGACACCAACTACGAATACCCCTCAGGCCTCAGGACCCCTGCTGGTTGACCTGACCTGACCTGACCCGACCTGGCCCAAATGCATGAAGACATCTGTGATTAAAAATAACATGATATTCGTAATCAGCACCCCAAAAAACCACCTAGCTAGCAGCCACGCTTTACGACGTTATGACAGGTCCCGAGTTTCTCGACTTTTGAGTTATTGACCTGACCTGAAAGGTCAACCAATGATCTAGGACCTTAACCCTAGAACGCCTAGGGGGGGGGGGTTGTATCAACCCCCCCCCCCTGAGGTTTTTTCGAAGTGCACGCTAAACGGCTTGTCGTAGCGGGCTGAAATTTTCAATAACCTCTGGGGCAACCTTTGCGCATCTTTTGCCGAAAAAAATTGATCGGGTCATGTCAGGTCACGGAGTTATGACGTCATAAGAGGTACAGCCTCCGGCCGGATTTTCACAAAC